GTGACTATGTGGGTGAGAGTGTGAGCTGCATATGTGTGCGTATGCATGTATTTTTGAGAGAGTCTATAATGTAGAATGAATGTGGGGTTGTGTGTGGGTGGGCGGCAGCTGCAGTAGCAAATACGATTCTTCAGTAGAGACTAGAGAGAGAGAGAGACAGAGAGAGAGAGAAAGCAGTAAAGACATTTTCCCATACAAGATTTTCCTTAAATTTTTCAAACTAAAGTAAGAGTTAGATTTACAAAACTTCCTACATAGTCCATCCAGCTCATGTGCAAACTAAGAATGTCACACTTATAATTTTAGAGCTATAAACACACCTATCACCGTACAATGACGACAGAACTCATTTACATACCGTACATTAAATGTCTTAAAAAGTCTTAAAGGTACAGTAGCAAAAATGCTGTTCAAATAGAAAGGTCAGAGAGAAGATGAAAAATGTTCATGTTAGGGCTGTCAAACGATTAATCGCGATTAATCGCATCCAAAATAAAAGTTTGTGTTTACATAATATATGTGGGTGCACTGAGTATAATTATTTTGTATATATAACACACACATGCATGTATATTTAAGAAAAAAAAATTATTTATATAAAAAAATATTTATATTTATACATAATATAAATTATATATAAATCTTTATACAGTATATACATGAAAATATTTCTTAAATATACACAAGCATGTGTGTGTATTTATATATATATAAAATAATTATACACAGTGCACCCACATATATTATGTAAACACAAACTTTTATTTTGGATGCGATTAATCACGATTAATCGTTTGACAGCCCTAGTTCATGTAAAACTAAATCATGACTGTTTTAAAGGATTAAAAAAAAAGAAGAATTCTGTCATTAATTACTCACCCTTAAGTCTTACTTTCGCTCATCTTCGGGAACACAAATGAACATCATTTTACTTCTGAAGATTTTTGTCCCTCTATTGACATTCTGCACAACTACCACTTTCGCGCTAAAAAAAGTTCTTAAAAAGATCGTAAAACTAATCCAAATAAATTGATCAGTGGCTTTATATGTTGAACAGATTGAATTTAGTCTTTTATTCACATTTCACAAAATTTATGAGCATAAACAGAAGCTCAACGGTTCTTGACACGTGAGAACAAACCTCATTGGTTCTTGCAGAACCTCAAACGCGCTGCGCAACATGAGAACGATTCACTTTTTTTAATCGCACGTCAAGCAAGCATGGCTTCCATTTATCATAACTGACGTGTGTGTTGATGAATGTTTATATCTTAATAAAAGCCAAATTCAATCTGTTCATCATATAAAGCAATCGAGCCCCTTTATAAAATTTGGACTAAACCGCTCGATTCATAAGGATTAGTTTTACGATTAGGATTAGTTTTCACTCCCATTTATTTCAAAATATTTTCATTCGTGTTCCGAAGATGAACGAAAGCCTTATGGGTTTGGAACGACATGAGGGTGAGAAATTAAAAACAGAATTTACATTTTTGTGTGAACTAAAACTTTAAATCCTTACAAAGGTAAAGCCAAAGCACTTTTGCTTTCAAGAACATTTCAATGCACAAGCAGATGAAACTCTGATCACCTAACAAAACTCTGACAGGATTTGCCTCTCACATCCAAAATAGAAGCCACGCTGAATTATTGATGGTAAACCGCCGCAGTCGTTCAGCTGGAGCAGTCAAACCTTATTAATGTGTGTGGTTTCTGCAAAAACAGCAGGACTCTGTCATCAAAACCAAAGCAGTGTCCCATCACCCTCTTCCCAAAAGAGCAGAGGAGATAAGCCAAGTAAACTGGCTCTAAATGGAATATTTTTAGTGAATAAATATATCAGTATATAAAGTCTTGTTGACAACCAGTAATATTGAGAAGATATTGAGAAAACGAATCCATTTCAGTATCAATTAAAAATGAGAATCGTTAAATATTAGTTTGTGTCCACAGCTGATATCTGTTGTAGTCCACTTCTTTCCTGCACTTTTACAGTACTTGTTGCATGTTCATTCATTGACACGTCTCCATGAGATGAGGGCTTTGAAAAAGCTTGAAATATTTTGGTTTGACATGCGTTTCTGCTGCAGAATGCAGATCCTCGCTGTTCCCGTGTTTATTTGGGCACTCGCGCACTGCAACTTCGCTGCGCGTCGTCTTATTTTATTAACAGTGGCGATCTCAACAATAATTAAAAAAATTTTTTTTTTATAAAAATTTATATTTTTGGACCATTTTAGTCACAGTATGGAGCCCTGTTTCTGTCACAATTTCTTAAAGTTAAACTGGACTTTTATTTTGACATGTTGCCATGTAGACCTTTGGTTTTCTGTGTGTTAATGATATGAGGATAGTTTTTCTCAAATAAAACTGTCAAGAAGAGTTATAAGAAAAGTGACATGAAGTGACTCTCAGAGCAGCTCTGGAGATGAAGTTCATGCATTCATGTCCTCATATAGTGAGCGGGCAGAGGCTGAAAAAACACCGCGAGCGTCACACATGCTTCAGTGTATGTGTGGTAAATGAAACCGCAACATGAAAGGTTCATATTCAAGTCTTTTTGCAGTTTAATATTCACAGACATTAGTCTATATCGAGATTTTTTCGATATATTATTTCGACAAATTCCGTGTTATACAGTCAATTCACTTTTTAGGACCAGATCCTGAGATGCTGGCAGACTGACTAATAGACTAATAAACACAAATATTATAATACAATCCATAATTTCAGTGATGCAGGCTTTTGTGTGGCTATTTTATAAAATTCACAAGCCAGACTCAAACCTACATTACCTTCATTAGCACCAATTGCCGTGCCAAAGCTAAAAGATAATCTAGAGTTTAACTTCAGGGATATTAGTTGAAAAGCCAAAATGCAGGGTCGTTTACAACACCTCAGTGAGTCTAATTCTGGCAATAATAACCCAACGGAAGCATAAAACATTTCTACACGATGTAATGACAGCAGCATTTTCTCGAAATGGGGCCGCCACAAAGCCATAGCCAAACAACCCACAGCGCGAGGCTAAACAGGTTAAAGTTGAGCACGGGAAGACCGACAGATCTTGTAGTCAGACAGCTTACTGTACCAGAGCTGGTGTAGAACAGCAGACAGATGGACGGCTTTCTGACACTAATGAGGATTTGTGGCCTCTGAGATCAAGGTGCTGAAACGTTCATTCTGTCTGTACAAGAGATCAAGCCATACAGGCCTGAATCAATGAGCTATGCTTTCGGCTACAAGCAGCATCAATAGCTCTGGTTCTCTAAACTGTAGAGAAATAACTACCAACCGAGCAATGTGACCATTTAATATAATAAAAATAATCAATTTGTCAAGACTATTGTAACAAGTATCATTATTGGCACTATACAAAATCGTTATTCACGCAGCGAAGAGATTGTTTGCGATGATATGTGCTCCGTTGAGGCTGAGGAAGCCAGAGGCACAGCAAACAGCGGCGCGGTAATTAAATATCAACAGGAAGTCACTACACACAACAACAGCACTCTTTATATCTTTAAAGCAGATGCTATGAGCCCGAAATACGTCTTTAATTAAACACATTGACAAGATAAAAAAAACATAAAACAGAGAGAGAATTATAAGTTGTCTATCCAATGCACATTCTGGGCCTTTCAAAAGCTGCTTTTAAAGACAACATGAAAATACTTGTCGAATTTTACTTCAGAAGCGTGATGCACTTCTTAGGGAGGCAAGATATTGATATTGACCATATTGAACATTGGGCGAAATTTACAACCTTTGTTGTCATCTATCGCTCACTTAAAGTGTTGTTGTCGTTAACTTAAACATTTAATTTTTTTTTTATAAATAATGCTGAAATGCTGAAAATAGCACTATTTTTTCGAAGCTTTAAAATCTTTAGTAAATCCAAAATTAATATTCATTTTCATGCTGTACATGATAATCTTGTGATGGCAAAATTAATTTGTTGCATTCAAAATGATTGATTGCAGTTTTTAACTGTTTTACCTTTTATTTAAGTAGAAAAAATTGCATATAATTCATATTAATGGTGGGATTTATCTTAAATAGACGCCAGTCGGATATGAACCACATTCGTAATAATTTAAAAACACTAATCCATCATTTTCAGTGATGCAGGTTTTTGTGTGGCTATTTTATGTATTAAGCCAGACTCAAATCCACGAAACCTACAATAGCACCAATTGCCGCGCCAAAGCTCCATCATAATGGGGTTTAACTTCAGGGAAATAATATGTAAAGCCAAAATTCAATTAAAGGAGTAGTTCACTTTTAAAAAAAACTTTTGCTGATAATTGACTCACCCCCATGTCATCCAAGATATTTATGTTATTCTTTCTTCAGTCGAAAAGAAATTAAGGTTTTTGATGAAATCATTCCAGGATTTTTCTCCATATTATGCATTTTAATGGTAACCAAACGGTTCAAGGTCCAAAAGACAGTTTCAATGCAAACTGCAAACTGTTGAAAGTGCTTTAAACGATTTCAGACGATGAATAAGGGTCTTATCAAGCGAAACGATCGCTTATTTAAAAACAAACAAACAAAGTTTAAGTTTTATAAGCTCAAATGGTCGCCTTGCTCTGGTCGCCTTGCTATGCACGTTCGTGACTCTCCTGTTCGAACTCGTTCATCAAAATGAACAAATCTTTTCCCGTGTCATTTGGTTCATTCAACGAACGAAATGAACGAATTGACTCGGAAAAAGATTCGTTCATTTTGTTCTTTCAGCGGTCGAAAGATTTGATCCTTATTCATCGTCTGGAATCGTTTAAAGCCCTTTGAACAGTTTGCAGTTTGCACTGAAACTATCTTTTGGACCTTGAACCGTTTGGGTTCAAGAAGAAATGACTGAAGAAAGGCGAGTAAATTATTATTAAAAGTGAACTACTCCTTTAAGAAACTGAGATTTGGTCCTTTACCGACACCTCTGAGTCTAATACTGGCAATCATAACCCAAAGGAACGTGTGTAAAAGGGTTCTCTCACCATCTGAATAGGTTTCTTTTGCAGGTCTCTCTCGGTCACCAGTCGCTCCTGGTCGGTGACGTACAGGCCCTTCTGAGCCAGAGCCTGGATGACGGCGTCATGACCCAGCAGAGGTTTGACGGCGTCGCTCTTCAGAATCAGACTCCCTGCTCGACAGTACAGCTCAGCCGACAGCAGCAGATCGGCCACAGGAGGCTTCAGGTGCTCCTGCTCATACTGGTCCAGGTAGAGGGGCTCTTTCAGGTCTTCAGGAACACTGTCTGCAGGATGACAGAATAACAGTTACTGTTACATTGCTGTGAGTACGTATATCAGGACCTTTAGATGGCAGCAACGTTCTTTTTCCTTCTTCACTTAGGGGTGAAAATAGGTTCGAAATAAGCGACCAGCGGTATACCACGCAAATATCCCAACACAGATGAGAGTGGCGTATAGATGAATATGTAAATAGAGTGCCGAAGTTATAACGTCACTTTGTAGGCCAAAACGCGGAAGTGAGTTAGCATTTTACAGTAGCACTCCCGGTTCCCTCGCTCTAAAGTCTGGCAAATATGGCCGTGTAAGACAAGAAGCAATATCTTAAAGTGAATACGTGATGCTACGGGTAGCCAGTGAAGGTCATGATTCATGAAGCAGAGGAGTAATGTGAGCAGAACGCCTGGTGGAGGTGAGAACTCTTGCAGCTGAGTTTAACATACTGTAGTCTTGCAATTCGTTTCTGGGCAGACCAAGAAGTAAAGCATTGCAATAATCTAGCATCCAGTGCTTGATGTCCCTGAGACATGCAGTGAGTGAGTCAGGCAGGGATGGCCTATCAGAGCTGATGGTAAGATAAATTTCAATGTCATCTTCAGCATAGCAATGGAATTGAAGTCCATGCCTGCGTATGATAAGTGGATTTATGTAGATGATGAACAACAGTGGACCAAGAACTGAACCTTGAGGAACACCCTGTGTGAGTGAAGCAGTGGCAGATCTATGACCTTGTATGCTGATATAATACTTTCTGTCGCTGGTATAGGAAATGAGAGCTGAACCAGTGATGCCGATATCAGAAAGCTGAGAAATAAGTCATTCATGGCAGACTGTGTCAAAAGCATCGAGGAGCATCAAGATTAGAGCCAGGCCGATATTATCGGCCTATATTAGGCATTTTCCAAACTATCGGTATCGGCAGTTATAATGGCCGATAATAGAATATTTCAAAAATAAAATAAAAACGGACGAAACACGCTTCAACCATGTCATGTTGGAGTGTTGGAGTTGTATAGTTTGTCCACCAGAGGGCACTCTACACCGTCCCTGTTGGCAACACTTGTTTATAACGCGCAACACATTCTAGCTAACCACAAAGCTAGCTAATGCCACTATTATCAGTGGAATTTAATGAGTTTTGTTAATTAATTAATGAGGTTTGGTTCCTCCTCTGTTCTGTTGCGACAATAAAAGAAACAAGTTTCTTTTTAAAATGCATTATCATATTATTTTAATTGAAACTCATATATAACTACAAATAACTAATGTTAGGGAAATCTGTTAATGTTTTGTTGTGCGTTCCTGAAAAAAATAAAATAAAAAATATCGGCCGATATATCGGAATATCGGATTTTAACACCATCAAATATTTGTATCGGTATCGGCCTTCAAAATCCTTTATCGGTCGGGCTCGAATCAAGATGTTTACTTGAATACATGGACAAAAGAATTTCGTTAACCAATTGCAGTTTCAGTGCTGTGCGATGGGCGAAAACCTGACTGAAAGGTTTAAAAAGACCGTTCACATCCAAATAAGATCGCAATAGCGAAGAAACAACCTTTTCAAGGATTTTGCTAAAAATGTCAAATTTGATATTGGTCTGTAATTGTCCATGTTTAAATGGTCAAGTCCTGTTTTTTTTAAGAATGGGGGTCACAGCAGCCGTTTTTAATTATGCTGGCAGAATGGCGGAAGCCAAACTACAGTTTATCATATGCGTTATGAAGGGTGAATAACAGTACAAAGGTGTTTATAGCCGGAGCAAGCTGCTTCGAACTCCATACAAACTACATTTTTCATCTGATTTTGTTCAAAATGATGTCACACCAGTTTTTCATACTGTACATTACAATGCCGTGATGCCTAAATTCACATGCATCATTTAGAAATTTAGTTTATTATTTATGTAGACTATAGTATAGAATTGTAATAGCTATTTATTGTTTTTTCGTCCATAACTTAAATACATAATTATCGGCTTATTGGCATTGGGTACATAATATATATTATTTACACCTGTGCATAATTTATATACATCTTATTTACATCTTATTTATTTATTTATATTTTATATTTATATATAGTACATAATATTCATCATATTAACGGTTCCGCGATAGCGAAACACAAAAAAACAACCAATATTTACCACTTGACTGCAAAATAATTGCAAACAGCACAGTACTACTTGAAGTTATTGACAAATTGTTATAAAGTAACATATATGAATGAGAAAACAAGGTACAAAATTCACATGCAGCATAAGTTTTTAGTGGTTTATTTGTTGTATTTAATCAGATAAAATAGTCCAAAATTCTATTATTGGCTATTTATTGGTTAATAGCCATAACAAAAATAATGATCAGCTTATCAGCGTTGGTATTTAAACCTAAATACATAATATTCATCATATTAATCAGTCCCACCAGTTTTTCGCGATTCCACGATTGTGGAAAATGCTAAATCGACAAAATGTCATTATTCGCCATTTTCAGTTATAGACAAATTTGTGTAATAAAGAAACATCCATGAATGAGAAAATAAAATGTGAAAAATAAAAATGTGTAATTAGCGTTAGCCTACTTGCACTGTTCTTATTTTTGAAACCAAAAAAAATAAATAATTACAAAAATAACGATACGTTTAAACGTTTTTTTGGTAATACAAAAAAATAAGCTTTCTGCATTTTGCTTGTTTTGACATTTTCATCTCCAGAACAGCTAAAGATAAACTCAGCTTGGTGTTTTCCGATCCTCGTGCAAGTCTCATTTACTCTCACCTGGGAAGATGAGGAAAAGCAGAAAGCCCTTAAAGGAAGCGAGGTCTAGCAGTGTCTACCACACAGCTCAGCTACAACATCAAAAATATCATTATCATGAGTTAACACGCTGACAGAATAAATGGGTTCAGAGATCCGAATGAGGTCACAGTATCCATGGAGAACCGAGATGTTTAGCTATTTATGGAGAAGGGTGAGAGTTTGAGAGAACGCTTGAGTCAGTCCACACACATCCTTATTACCTTATTTATGACAGAACCTAATTGTGTAATGATACAAAAGATTTGAACCACTCAGTCTGTCCAAATGAATGCCTTCATTTGAGACATGGAAAAAAATGGAATGGAAAGTACCTTAAATGGTACTTAATAGTTACCATGAAAGGTTTTAAAATGGCTCTTTATCATAAAACAAGATCAAACATTTCACTGATGATATCACAGCCACAAGGCGTTGACAATGTAAGTCAAAAATACGAGTGTGTGGAGCCGGACCGCGGTTGCCATGGCAACATATCGATTCCCCTGCCATACGTATGTAGCCAGGAGCTTCTTCCGAGCTTCATCAAAGACAGATGGAGCAACACAGAAGGCGAGAGACGAACTGCACAGGTGTAAATATTCTGAACAATACGTCCAATAATCATGATATATTCACAATGATTTAGCTCATATTGTAAATATTCCAATGATTTTAAAGCACTTTCCAATTATGCGAGTCCGCTACATTTGGTTACATCTGTGAAGTCGTTCAAAAGTGAGTCAGATTCAATGATTCATTTGAGTCACCACAATTCACAGTAATTAAAATGTTTTAAGAAAAAACATGTTTAGGCAAAAATTGCTTTTTTATGATTTTTTTGGTGCATTTAATCGTTAAAAATATTTTCATTTAGTAAAAAAAAAAAACATTGCAAAAACAGTTTTTTTTAACCTTTTTAAGTAAGTACACATATAGTAATTCATTTTTAAAAAATGAATTTTTCAACATTTTTAAAAATTAAATTTGAATATTTCTCATAGTTGAATCAAACACATACACAGAAGGTCCAGGAAAATCTGATACAAATATTACATACACATAGGACTTTCAATCAATAAAAAGATTATCTAAATAATTATACAGATCTCTGTAATTAATCATGATTATTCTCCCACCTAATATTATATTACACTGGTATCAAAAATATATATTTCACATTGAATCTGTAAATGAATGTCGAAACAACAAAGGCATAAAATATTTTTGGTGTTATGTTTGGTGTTTGGTATAAGTACTATGAAAGAAGGTCACTGATACTAATACTGATGACACTATTAAATAGATTTGAGACTTTTAGAAAAAAAAGAATGTATTAATAAGAATGAATGTTTTAAAAAATAATTGATTTGGATGAATAAATGATTCAATGACTCAAAGACTTCATCAATGGATGAATTTGCACTTTTGAACGAATCTCTTGAATGAATGATTCACTGACAAATACATTTTTAAGAGTCACTAGTCGCCACCTACTGGCGTAAAATGTAATTGATACAACGGTTATTTAAAGCACCATGTGCTTCAAAGGGTGATGCTCTATTTTGACATCAGTCTTTATATCTGAACTATAAACTTTTATCCCAGTACTCGACTTCCGGCCGTATGTGCGTTCATGGGAGTCAAGTCGAGTTCCGTCGGACGGGTGACCTCTATCCCATTTATTAACCCACTGGAGATGCATGGATTACTTTTACGAAAGACGGATGCACTTTTTGGAGCTTCAAAAACTCAACGCACTATTCAATGAAATTATAAAGCTGGAACGAGTAAGACTATTTATAAATATAACTGATTGTGTTATATTTATAAACCATACACACCTATGGCTTGATCCTTTGAGTTTTATTTCACACATTCATTTTCACAATAAAGCAGTAAAAAAAAAACGTTTAGTTTTCAGAAACAAACGTGCCATAAAGGAAGATTGCATTAAGGAGATGGACAGAGAGCAGAGTGCATGCCATTAAATAACCAATTTATTATCTCTATCTGTCCCAACTGACCAAACTGGATCAATGGAAAAGCTTTTATGGACTGACAAACATCCACTTGGATTTAATTTTAACTGGCGGCATCATACATATATTAATTTAAAGACCTGCATTATGTTTTTAAATAGTATTGTGGTCTGAAATGTGTTGATTAAATCATTCTTTGTGTGGAAATGTTTCCTTTTATCAGTTGTACTATCATCGGTCCTATGTTACACCTTAAGATAAGTCAACAAATGGGTCAATAACACCCTTTAAGGCCTGTCAATCAAACTACTGAACATTTCCACATCCTCACCCAGGAGTTCAAGTGAATTGTTCTTCGAGTTTAAGGTCACTTTAAATCAGAGATGCTAAACAATAACCATCCTGACAGGAAGAGTTGTCATTTGCGTCGCACATGGGCCTGAAGACCTGACTGCGCATTTTAATGAGAGGACCTAAAGGAGAGCAGATGGCTGGTGGATACATCAGTTAGCCAATCACAATGGGTCAGCACAATGCTAAACTATACAGCTCAGTGACTAGCTAGCGAATAAACACGGACGACAATCTGTCAAAGATGTTAAGCTTGTACAGATTTGATTGAACATAAACATGAAACTTCATTAACTACATTTATGAGCATCATGGTTAAATTTAGCACACAAAGTGAATAGCTATGAGCTGACAATCTGTCACATTGTTCACCACAGTGTCAATGAACACTTATGAACTCTGTGGCTCATATATTACATTTTGGCTGATGTTTCCATATCAAGCTGCACTGAAAGTCAATCCCATTATGAAAAAGAAGTGGATTCAAATCTTAAAAGTATCTTTTTTTAAACTGTACTTGCAGGTAATATATTAATGAAAAAGCCACTTAATGTACACTTTCATGACTGTTTCTTAACACTTAAGTACATTTTTATGTGCACTTTGTAATCATGTCAAATTAAAAGGTTTATTTTAAAGTACATTTTAAATAATTGTTTGAATAATCTTTTGTTATGTTTTAATGCACTTATTATAAGGTGTCAAGTTGTCAACTAACATACTAAAGCACTTGTAAAGTTATTGAATATAATTTCTGTAATTCTGTAGTGTTTTAGTCAATATTATATTTTAAATGAACTAAATTCATCTTCATCATAACAAACGTTTAATGGCAAATTAACGTTTGTTATGGCAACGGCATAAAAACCCTCTGGTGCTCTTCGGTCATATTTGACTAAAAAAGTATATATATATATTTTTTTTTTTTAAATAATTTTTTACTGCATTGAAATGGTAGGTTAAAAAAGGTTTTGGCACTTGCTATGGGCATGATTGAAAAAGGTTAAATGTTCCTGAAAATAATCGTCACCCTTGAATTGTGTCGGTTTGGAAACCGCATTGGAAACAAATGGGAGACGAATATAATCTAGTGGAAACGTTTGGTACTGCACCCTAACAAAATCTTATTGAAAGCTCATTTTTTGGAGATATCAACCTTAAATTTGGAACAAAACTTGTTTAGATTTAGAGTAAAACAGTTTTAGGGTAAAACATGCTTTGGAAAATATATTTTTCAATGTAGTACTATAAAATCCCCAACAAAATATTCAATAAAGACATTAGCAAACTAAAATATAGTGTAATACATTAATTTAAATGAAATTTAAAACAAATCTGTCATTTTTGATCGCCATGCAAACAGAAGCAGAGGGTTAAATATATGACATACAATTCTCAATAGAAATGACATTAAAGTGTGTATATATATATATATATATATATATATTTTACACCATGTTAAACTCAACAAAATAAATAATAATAAAATCATATTAAACTTAAAATAATAATAATAATAATAATAATAAATATCTAAACAGGTTATGGTCCAGATTTTTGAGATCTAAAAAAATGATCTTACAGTAAGAATTTGTTTGGGCACAGTATGAAATTTTTCCAATTAGATGCCAGCAAATCTTTACTCTCTCAAATATTACACACTCACACATACACACAATTTTTGTATTACAGATATAAACCACACTCTGACATCCACACAAACATACCCACATACATAATTATACCTGCATAATGGATCCAATTAGCTCTATAATATGCAGAAACACAAAACAGGAATAAAGTGAGTGTTTGCTTTATGGGCTAAACCTGATAAAATGGCCCCTTCTGGTAAAAAAAATCAAATTGTTAGGCCTTGCCAACAGAATAAAAGCCTATTAACAAAGACTTCATCAATGACCCTGGGATTAAAAATTGCACTTTTAATGGGGGCAGTTTGTCCTTAAGGACATGAGTAGAAATATTGTGTATTACTAAAATATAAATACCAATAAAAATACACATTTGTGTCATAATGTTTGCAGTTGGCATTAACAAAAATGAAAAACAAAACTGAAAGGACAAAATAGGATGCAGAAGTTTTAATTGGGGCAAAAACATTCTTAAGTTTAACTAATTGCATGGAATATAAATGTATTATAAATTAATAAATTTAATTTAATTACAAAAAAACTAATTGAATTAATTATTAAAATTAGAGTGTTCAAACATTACATTCAGTTAACACTTCGCACTAAGGTATATTATTTTAAAATATTCTATTTCTCTTTTTAAAAGTATGCTAAAATGGATTTCTTTTTCACAGATAACTTGAGATAAGTAAGGCCATCACAGGACCATGTTTTATAAGTGCATCATGTTTAATGAGTTAAATAATGATTCTGTCAACATTGCATGCTAATACTCAACTGTTTGCATATTCATTTATGAATTCACACTGCGATATTTACAAAGTATTCCAAGGTACTACCATGTTACATTTCCAAACAAAAAAAAAGAAAAGAAAAGAAAAAATCATGGCAGAAAGTTTTTTTTTTTTTGGTTAGTGTTGGATTCTAACATTATACATTAGCCTACACCATTCAGTACTGGATACAATTAATAAACAGCAGCTAATTATGAAGCAGTTTGAAATTATATATTGCAATTGTGGAATATTAATATTTTGTAACAATATAATAAAAATCCTGTCAAACTCACTCCATCAGCAAAATGCAATCATGATTATAACATGCATCCATTCATATATAATGGGGTTTTATTTCAATTTGATATCAAATGCATTCAAAGCAACACATTGGCAATGAAATCAAGAGACAAAGATGATGGTGGAGAAAGAGAAGCACGCCACCTACCTGTACCAAAGGCTTTGGCCACCAGCCATGTGAGGCTTGCTCTGATTTTTGCTCTATTAAAATCATAATGATCAAAAGACTTGATGGCAGGAACAATAAAAGTCTTTTTCGGGTCCCTGGAGTCGGTCAGATCTCCCATATTCACGGCGGCAGTGTCACATCCAGTAGGCTACTCACAACGATGACATCTCTCCGAAGGAATTCAATGCCTCAAAGCTGACTTTTTGCTTTTTATCTCTCACATATACATCAGATTTTGTAACATACATGTGCCATAGCGCTGTTCAAACACTCGGCTGGGCTTATTTTCACATCAAATTCGCCAATAAAAGTGGGGTTCTGCCCATAGAGCTTCATCCATTCTGGTACCACTATTTGAATTCGGCTGTTTTTCTTCTTAATAATCCAGCATGTTCAGATTTAGAAGAGGCGGGCGAAGAGTCGCTATCTAAAAAGTCTTTGTCTTGATTAGGACCTCGCTATGCTCTGCCCACATATTCCCATCTGGATATTTACGGTTATTCTTCTCCCTCTATTCATCCAGCGTCCTGCGGTCGGGCGGTCGGGCTCCCTGCAGCAGTGAGTGAATGAGACAAAGTCATCTGCGCATGCGCGCTCCGCCCAACACGCCAACAACGCCAAGGCTGCCAGAAATTGTACTAACTAGACATTGGATCCAGTAAAATTTAATAACATATATTATTAATATGCTATAAATACATATAAATGCAAATAAATATATATTTTTAATTAAAAAGCTTGATGCAATTTATTTTGTTAATAGTAAAAGCGTGTGATGGCATAAATCATTAACTTTAGATTTAATAAACTTTATTTATCCCATTTTTAAGGGAAAATTCACATTGTTCTTTCGGTAAAAAAAAAAAAGAATATATAATAATTATTGAAAATATAATATCCACAACGAGCCCTTAGAACCCGTAGTTCTCCAATGTTCTGTACATATACAAAGATATATGGCTTTTTTATAGTGAAATAATAATAATAATTATTATTTTAAGCAGATGTATAATTACAATATTGTCGTATGCAATTAATAAAACACACACACAAAAAAAAAAACAATACACAGCACAGGTAAATGTTTTTCAAAAAAGTCAAATATTTATCTTGTTGAGTTTTCAAGTCTTACCGAATATGCATATGAAGAGTTCAGATGCAAAAGCCTCTAAATGCCATTTGAAATTTTCTTCTAAAATGACCATTTTTATGAAGCTTGTATATATATGTTCAGTAATTTCACTTAAATGACAATTAATAGGTAATCTTCATTGCCATTTAAGTGAAATTACTGAACTTAAATATACAAGCTTGATAAAAATGATCATTTTAGAAGAAAAATTTCAAATGGCATTTAGAGGCTTTTGCATCTGAACTCTTCATATATATATATATATATATATATATTATGCATTATAAACTGACATAATAACTTTAGATAAAAATATTATTGTTGTTTATTACTAATTATCATAAGTAAAATGATATCGTATTTCAATGATTAAACTACAATACTTTGTATATAATATATAGATCTACAATACTTTATATATCTAAAATTCGTGTTTGTCTATAAAGGAAAATAATATACTAACGTATATACAGGTTTTTGCTACAGAGTACTTGCATCCTTAAAAACTACAATGCCCAGCTTTACAGTAATGTTTATATGACGTCATACCTACGCGACTTTTTAGAAGGTTCCCTTCCGTCCCACAGATCTCGGGTTCTCTGAAATAAAGCGTTTCCAGAATATGAATATAACAATCTTTTTTCTTTTGTTTTAGTTAGTATCTGTGTGGTGAATGTGAGCAGAAAATGTTTATGCCGAGTTCGCTAAAGCTCAAGAGAGCCCCCGAGTCCCATCAGCAGAACCCCAAGAGAAGCAAAACGACACTTGAAGACACTGTTTCTACATCTCCATCTGACCTAGACACAGTTTCTACATCTACATCTGACCTCTGTCCTCCAGACGAGACTGTGAATATTGAACCAGAGGAGGAATCCGACCAGATAGAGTCTGATGAAGAGGAGGAACCAGTGAAGTCCTTCAAGAAGAACCAGAGATGGCCAGAGCCAGGAGAACCTGTGTGCGTCATGTGCGGTCGATATGGAGAATACATCTGCGATAAAACTGACAATGATGTCTGTAGCCTGGAGTGTAAAGCCCGTCACCTGGCTCAAATGTGCTTGGGTTTTGGCGAGAAGGTCTTTTCTAAAGACCCACAGGAGGGTTCAAAGACCTCTAATGCGTCAAACACTGACGCTGAGAGTTACTCTTACAAAGAGGACGTTTTCATATCTGAACTGACTGAGGAGCAGGTTAAGAGAGTTAAAACAGAGCTGGCAATAGTGACAGCTGGCAGTGAGGTCTGTAGACCCATTATTGAGTTCGAACACTGTAACTTTCCCACAGCACTCAGACTCAACCTGAAGAAGGCTGGTTATGAGGCACCCACTCCCATCCAGATGCAGATGGTCCCTGTGGGTTTAACCGGCAGAGATGTGATCGCCACTGCAGACACAGGCTCTGGGAAGACAGTTGCCTTCCTTCTTCCAGTGGTAATGCATGCACTCCAGGTAAAGACTGTACTGGATAAAGGATTTATATAGAGCTTTAAATACAGATTGGTTCAAAGCATCCTCACATTGATAAGCAGGAAAATAACGGTATTATTTTGTCTAATTTATTAGTTATGAAGAAAAATCAGTTTTCATTTTCATCTACAAAGCAGCTTTACACAAGATAACTGTTATTTTCAGATTAATTTAGCTCATTGTTGTTTCATTTCACTGCAATAACTGTGTTAAAGAAGTTCATACATTTATGAAAATTAAATTGGGATGTGCAGTACTGTCAGATAGATAGATAGACACAGATTGATAGATAGATGGATAGATAGATAGATAGATAGATAGATAGATAGATAGATAGATAGATAGATAGATAGATAGATAGATAGATAGATAGATTTTTTTCAGGTCATGGTGTTAAATACTGTAGACAACTCTTTTGAGGTAACAGCTGTTACCGTAGATGTCGAGTGCTCTCATGCGCTCCGCCAGTATGAGTAATTCATAAGAGCAGATCTATTTTTGACTGGTCTATAATTCCAGTGCGCTTCCTCTGGGAAGTTCACAACCAGAATGCCTAGTTCAGATAAGGGCAATTGTTATATATAACTCACATTCACCTGACAGCTACAATGTCACAGTAATGTTTCATATCATAATGTTCATTTTTAGGAACAAATATTTGCCTTTTTTAATATAAATAAAATATAAGGTTTTTTTATTTTGGCAAGTTCATTTTTTTCTCTCTCTCGTTTTTATTCTTTTTTATTACTATAATGTGAGATTTGGACATGATAAAATAAGTTACAAATGATAACATTGTCAAAATAAATAAAAACAAATCAAATTGTACTTTTTTTGTTTAAAAAATATACTGCAAGGTACCGTTTTTTATAAATATATTTATTATATGTATATATATATATATATATATATATATATATATATATATTGTCCTGGTTCATTTGTTTTATTTTATTTATTTAATATGGATCATTTTTCTGTAAAAATATGATCAATAAGTTATGACAACATATGTTTTTACATTGCTTTAAATCCCCAAAATAAGTTAAGCAGTTTTAAACTCATTTTTTAAGTCAATTTATTATGATTAAAGTTTAAATGACTTTAAATAACATCCAAGTTGATTGTACTTAAAAATAAAAGACAGCAACTTTTTTTACAGTGTTGTTGCCAATGATGTTTAAACTTCCCACAATTTACAATTTATGTATTTCGATGGTTTTCCAGAGCCAAACTGCTTCTCCGTCTCGTCCCACGTGTCTCATCCTGACCCCGACGAGAGAGCTGGCCATCCAGATAGAGCAGCAGACCAAAGAGCTGGTGATGGGTCTGCCCAACATGAGGACTGCCCTGCTGGTGGGGGGGATGCCTTTACCTCCTCAGCTGCATCGACTCAAGCAGAAGATCAAGGTGCTTCTGGGTAAAGTTTTGGATAATGTTTGATAGATTAGAGCTTAATCAGAATCCACCTTATCTTTTTAATTGCCTTGTCCAGATTGCAATAGCCACTCCAGGACGCATCATTGAGATTGTGAAACAGAAGGCTATATGGCTGGATGATGTCAGGGCTGTTGTGGTTGATGAGGTATCTATCTATCTATCTATCTATCTATCTATCTATCTATCTATCTATCTATCTATCTATCTATCTATCTATCTATCTATCTGTCTGTCTGTCTGTCTGTCTGTCTGTCTGTCTGTCTGTCTGTCTGTCTGTCTGTCTGTCTGTCTGTCTGTCTGTCTGTCTGTCTGTCTGTCTGTCTGTCTGTCTGTCTATCTGTCTGTCTATCTGTATATCTATCTATCTATCTATCTATCTATCTATCTATCTATCTATCTATCTATCTATCTATCTATCTATCTATCTATCTATCTATCTATCTATCTATCTATCTATCATCTGTGCTGTTTCTATTTTTAATCTATAAAGTTATTTTATTATCTATAAAAATCTATATATCTATAATCTATGTATGTATATATCTATATATATCTATAATCTATAAAGTTTTTCTATTTTTAATCTATAAAGTTATTTTATTTATATGTTGTAATTTTTAATATAATTGTCATAAACATTCAAAGGCAGATACCATGCTGAAGATGGGATTCCAGCAGCAGGTTCTGGAAATTTTGGAGCACGTCCCTGAAGAGCATCAGACGTTGTTGACGTCAGCCACCATTCCCACAGGAACGGAACAGCTAGCGGCTCGTCTTACCCGCGACCCTGTGAGCATAACCATTGGACAGAAGAACCAACCCTGCGCCAACGTCCGGCAGATAGTCCTCTGGGTGGAGGAGCCGTCAAAGAAAAAGAAGCTTTTTGAGATTTTAAATGTAAGTGTACTGCAGAAATTACACTCAAAATGTACCACATTTTGTTCACAATTCATCAGTGGAAAAGACTAATCAGATTTAAAAACAAAATAAGCTTGATTGACCGCATTTGTGGCCTGCTGTCGACTGAATTGTTGGCAGAAAAGCAGTTACACTGGACGTCTGTGGGTCAGTCTTTGCTGTTGTGTCTTACCCTCCTCTCCAGAGGAAATGGGTGGGTCCTCAAATGGCTTTGCTCCAGGAAGAGTAGCAACGGCTTACCAGGGACAGAAAGCAGGAACGCATTTTATAAAATCACTGCCCCCAGCTATCTACATAAATAAATAATAATAAAAAAAGATATAAATGAATACATGTGATATTTTAGAATAGTAGTCCATCAGAAATCCAATCCTTGATTCTGATTGGTCAATTGCTGTGCTTTATTCACGATAAAACACGGCCATGACCGCTTCACCAGTTCTATTTATCACTGCAACACTGCAGTTCCTATGTTGTTTTTATTTACACATTGGAACGCTGTTGCTGTTCACGGTCAGGGACTATTTTTTCCTAGTGGAAGGAAGGCTTTTAGTGATTTTACTTCATGAAAGTTGCTCTAATACATATTTATTTACTTCAATATTTTTATTTTGTGGTAACTGTTTTATAAAATGCAATAAGGTACTCGAGGCAAGTGCTATATCGTGAATAAGTAACGGCTGAAGGGCGTTGTTAGGCACGACGCGAAGTGGAGTCTCTCGTACCTTATTGCTTACACACACATATATATGTATATATATATATATAAATGAATAAATATGAAATTGAATAAATACATTTACAAATAAAATGATTTATTAAATTTTATATTAAATATTTTAGAATAATTTCCGATCAAAGTATAAAATAACATAAATGATAAATCTGAATTCATAAATAATAATTATTTATTAATATTATTTTTCACATTTTAGAATAATTGTCCATTAAAATATGAAATGACACAATTGATAAATAATATTCATTCTTAATGAAATGGAATAAACAAAATCCTTTTTGTTATTTATATTATTTTATATTCTAGAATAATCGTCCATCAAAAATATTACATAACATATAAATGATAAATATTAAAGGAAATATATGAACAGATGAATTTTATAAACAAATAATTCTTCATTTATATTGTATTTAATATTTTAGCATTGTCCATCAGAAATATAAAATAGCAATTTATAAATATGAATTCATAAATGTCAAATAAATACATAAATGTAATCCTTTATTAATTTTATATTGAACATTTTAGAATAATTGTTCATCAAAATGAATTCATAAATGTGAAAAATAAATAGACAAATACATTTTATACGAATATCACATGTAATATTTGAGAATAATTGCCCATCAAAAATATGAAACTACGTAAGTGATAAATAAATGCAGTTCTTTATTAATTTTAAATTTAATTTTTTTTTTAATAATTGTCAATTAAAATAGGAAATTATTTAATTAGAAGTTTTGTAATTACAACTTTATTTTTTTAACAAAAATATTTTTACAGCTCAAGCATTTTTTATATTCACCTTTCTTTTCTTTATATTACATCTATCATTTGTATTTGTATTATATTATTAGGTTTGTTTTTAGTAGAGTATTATCTTGATGTCTTTTTGTGTGTCCACAGGACACAAAGCTCTACCAGCCGCCAGTAGTTGTGTTTGTAGACTGCAAACTTGGGGCCGATCTGCTGTGTGAAGCTGTGCAAAAGGTCATGGGATTAAACGTAGTCGCCATCCACTCGGACAAGACTCAGTGGGAACGCAACAAAATAGTAAAGGTAATGCAAAAATATCCTTTTCTAAAAGCAGCCCACAAATGTCCAAAATGATAATATATAGTCTATGTGTTGGTGTTTTTTAGGGTCTACTTGAGGGCCAGTTTGAAGTGGTGGTCAGCACTGGGATTCTTGGAAGAGGACTTGACTTGGTCAATGTTAAGCTGGTAGTGAACTTTGACATGCCAGCTAACATGGATGAATATGTTCATCAGGTATGAATTGTTTTATAAAAAAACACTTACACATTGAAGGTTCATGTCTTTAATGATACACTATATTTGACCCTTTCAGATTGGTCGAGCTGGTAGACTGGGGCACAGAGGCACCGCCATCACCTTCATGAATAACAACAGCAAACGGCTCTTTCTGGACATTGTGAACCGAGTGAAGCCCACCGGCTCCTTACTGCCGCCACAACTCCTCAACTCCCCCCATCTGTTCGAACAGCAGAGGAAAGCCAAACAGAGGAGTCACCGTGGAGAGGACGACGTCATCGGAACCAAAAGCAACCTCATCGACATCATCAGGAAGCACGACAAAAGATCTGCCAGGAAATAACTAGCAAATGGATTTATTATTAAAAGGTTTTATTGTTGTAATTTGTGTTTTCAATAAATGCCACAAGAAGTGAAAGAATCAAATGTCCCTTCTAACGGTTTCCCGTAGGCTATAATAAGATGCACAAAATCACACCACCCTTTTAAAAAAAATAAAAATAAATAAAAAACGTTAGTAACATTAATGGAAACTGAAAACAATAAATACTATGGTAAAACCTGTTACTTGTTTACTGTATCATAAACAGTAAATCATACTAAAACATTATACAACATTTAAATCAGAGAAATTGTCAAATTTAACAAGGTAAAAGATGGTACAAATGTTAAAAGCCCTAAGTATTTTTTTCTTACATTGTAAGTATTTTATAGTTATATTAATATATTTATATATATATTTATCAACTGCAAATTGAATTAAAAGCAGTACCAATAAAGTAGTCGACATGAAAACGTCTTTCAGTAGACAAAAACTTAATAAAAGTTTTAAAAGTTGTGACTTGAGAAAATTATATGACCTTAGTACAGTGTGTCAATCTGTAACCGTTGACTGCAACATTGCATAACCATGGTTTTATGATATTTAGTGCAGTAAACATGTTTTATTGGGCGATTAGCACTTGATTAGCATTTGTTTACTACAAATACCATGGTCAAACTATGGTTAATTTTCGTAATCTGCACTAATTTTAAAATGGTGTCTAACTGACTAAAGTATATATATATATATATATATATATATATATACATATAAGTAATATGATATAAATAAAAATAAGCTGCTTATAGGTAATTAAGCAATATGGTTTTGTTGTTATTTAAATCAGCAGAAACTATAGAAAGTAAAATAAAGATTACCGAAATGTCGAAATAAATTGTATATTTTTCACATTACATTGTGGGAAAATGTGCTTTATTGTGACTAAAATATCACTATGAGAAATGTATTAATATTAATACAAACGTTATTTTCGTTATTTTTATTAATACAAATCCTTATTTTCGTGTAAAAAACACCCGTTCACCCACTACCATATATGTCTATGACCCACTACGACTGCTCAGGCTTGGAGAGACACTGCCATCTGTTGGTGGGTGCGTGTTACTGTATATCGGTGCGTCAGTCTGAGCTGACCAATCACAGCATGCCTACTGTTTTTGAATTATAGCGGCAGTATGGCGGAGCTTGGAAACAGTGAACTGTTGTTATTATTGACGTTTCGAGGCGGAGTACAGTTTGTTACATTCTCAACATCAAAACGGAAGTAAACGGGAGGAAGAAAAGACTGCGAGTTTTAATTCTTGAACAAAATAACTTTTAATTTACAATACGACTGTTTAATTACAGGATAACACTTGCAGGTCAGTTTTAGTTCATTTGTTTACGTAAATATATATTTTTAGTCTAATGACATGTTGCTTACCTCCGTGCACTCATTATTATAAATCAATGGAGACTGAAGTAAATGTCGGACATTCTTAAAACAATTTTAGTCAAAAGTGTTGCGTTTGGTTCCGTAAAATTATGGATGGATCAAAAGAAGGAGAAAACACATCATCTTTTAATAAAACAAAAGAAGTGAACAGGACTTATGTCATCTCAGCACTCACAAAATGTGGAGAAAACACATTTAAAACACCATCTTCTAGTGCCAGGCTCACTCTTCAGAGAAAACCCAGCAAACCCCATGTAAACCACCATGAAGAAACCAAACAAGAGAACCAAGGAAAAGAGAAACGCCTGACCCTTCAGCGCAGGACTAGAACAGGGTCCATGAACAGAACCAAAGTGCTGACCGAACCCAATCCAGCACCATCACCAGCAAAAAAGTCCCATGAAACCATTAAAACACCTGGGACAACCTCATGGCGTGCTCAGAAAACAAGTTCTGAGAAGGTCAGTGCCACCCATGATGAGGGTAAAACCGTTTCCACGCCTACAAGAAGAACCCAGTTTGAGAAATTAAGTGTCAAGAGAGACGTCTTTGAGAGGTTAGCTGTTAAAGATGCATCTAGACCCACAACTACTGGAAGACAGAAGCCACCACAGATGAGCACTGAAACCGGTGGAGCAACCAATGAGAAGGTTCAGATTGGTGCTTTAAATAGGCACATGACTCCAGCATCACATTCAGCACAGGTGAGGAGACCCACAACACTAATGAGCTCCACAACTCATGGAGGAACAAAAGTTTCCAGAGCCACTGCGGCTGAAGGACATGTTCCTCTTGAAGCTGTGAGCAGAACTCGACAACCTCAAGAACTGAAGATGGAGAACAGTACAGTCACTGTGGCAGTTCGAGTAAGACCTTTCAGTTCAAGGTAAGAATTGGTGTGTTTTTAAAATTGTAATTGGCGGCATGTTGTTTTGAGACAATTTTTGGTATGCAATTTTTTTTTTTAACATAAAAAGGTGATTTTGGCATGTCTATCTGACTGAATAAAGTTATCGACTCTACCCTGTTGACCCTTTTAAAAATATGTGACATTTTATAATACTGTGGCAACGTGGTATTTATTTTAACCCATCCTAAAACAAATTGGAAAGACAAGCATATGTGATCACATTTTTCCTTAATGATTTTTACACATTTGTCATTTTTACATTTTGATAGGATAGGATTCGTCAACCTCAACCATTCAATATTATTCAATTTATTATAAAAAAAAAAAATCAAGCAAACCTTTTTTTCGGGGGAAATAATACTTGGGAAACTAAATAATTATCAATGATAAATAATTATCAATAATTATATATATATATATATATATATATTAGGGGTGTTACAATATATCGTGTCACAATATATTGCAAACAAAAATGCACCAATATGCATCATGGATAGTGACAATATGTATTGTGTATAATTTCACCCAAAATCAAATTAAGCTTTCAAATTCCATTTTTAGAGTACTACATTAAACCACTATATATAATGTTGAATATAATGTATAATAATGCAATGGGGGGAATATTTGTGCGGGTCCTGATAATGCCAAATGTCTTATGTTATCATTTAAAAAAAATTTATTTTAAATAAATTATTTTAAATATATCTAGTCAGTGAAAGAGTGCAGCAATATTTGTCTAAAATAAGAATATAGAATCGTAAATATTGTTAATTTTGTCTTTCTTTTGTCCTGTATTGGGTTTCCAGAAGTCCAACCCTATTCATTTACACCCACAATGTAATTGTAATTTTAATCAACTGCACATTTTTGTTAACCTTTTATCATATGTTTTGGAGTATCGCAATAATATCGTATCATGAGTTCGGTATCATGATATGTATCGAATCGTGACATGAGGGAATCGTTACACCCCTAATATATATATATATATATATATCAAGAATTTTTCAAGAAATTTGTAGTCTTTAAGATTTAAGATTTTATTATATATTTAATATTATTATATATTATTTTAGTGGACAATGCCACTTTGTGTCCGCAGGGAGAAGAATGAGAAGGCCCGTCAGGTGATCTTCATGGACAGCCAAGAAACTTTAGTGCAACATCCAGATACTAAACAAAACTACACATTTAGCTTTGACTTCTCTTTTTGCTCTATCGATGAATCGGATGCGAGTTTTGCAAGTCAGCAGATGGTTTATGAAACTCTGGCTCGGCCCTTGCTTGAAAGAGCATTTGAGGGATTTAACACGTGTCTTTTTGCCTATGGCCAAACAGGCTCTGGAAAGTCCTACACGTAAGTGATGTGTCTGCTTTTTAAATAAATATTTAAAACTACATATAGGTAAAACAGCTTACTATTTATGTCAATAATATAGAAGTGTGATTTTGGATGTTTTACAGTATGATGGGTTTTGGTGAAGAGGTTGGAGTTATTCCCAGATTCTGCGAGGAACTTTTCTCAAGATTGTCCACAACTGAAACCAAAGAGGTTACTGTCCCATAGAAGGATTATTTATTTAGAATGTACTGCTGAATTATAAATTAAAAATAGTGTGTTGAACTTTCTAAATGCAAGTTTACTTCTATTAAAGATCTCCTGCCATCTGGAGATGAGCTATTTTGAGGTGTACAATGAGAAAATCCATGATTTGCTGGTGGCAAAGGATGGACAGAACCAGAAGAAAATGCCTGTAAGTACAGCCACTCAATAAAACACATTAAATGCAATATAAATGTGTTTTTTTTTTTGGTTACCCGATTGATCAGCAATTCCGTTCATTTCATGTCTTTTCCAGTTGCGTGTCAGAGAACATCCTGTTTACGGGCCTTATGTTGCAGACCTATCCACGTAAGCAAACATTTAATCCAAACGCCACGGTTACTTTGCTCATGGGGAACCTCAGAATTGTTTTATTGTTTTTACTTTGCATCTTAGTTTTGTTTAGTTATTTTATTGTTTTTCTTTGGTTTTGATTTAGTGCGTATTGGTTTGGATTCACTTGTTTTTGTCATTTTGTTGTGTTGTAGTTTTGCTTGGTTTTGGCTGTTTTTTGTTTTATTATTTTGTTGTGTTTTTTTTATTTCGTTGTGTTAATTGTTTGGATTTGGTCGTTTTTTTATTTGGTTTTGTTTGATTTTGTTTTATGTTGTTGTGTTGTAGTTTTGCTTGGTTTTTGTTTTATTTTGTTGTTTTTTGGTTTTGTTCAGTTTACACGTTTTTGATTGGTGTGTATTGGTTTGGATTTAGTTCTTTTTCGTAATTTTGTTGTGTTGTAGTTTTGGCTGTTTTTTGTTTTATTATTTTGTTGTGTTAATTGTTTGGATTTGGTGTTTGTTATTTTATTTGGTTTTATTTTATTTATTCTTTTGGTTCTGGTTAATTTTGTTGTGTTGTAGTTTTGGTTGTTTTTCTCTTGTATTGTAGTTTTGTTGAGCTATTGTTTTGGTTTGTTTTGTTCTGTTCTTTTCTTGTGTTGTGGTTTGGTTTAGATTTATTTTTGTTTGGGATTCGGTTGTTTTGTGCCACTGTCACTAATCTCTCTGCTCTCTTTCAGGAATGTTGTCACGTCCTATGCTGATATTCAGGTAATTTTGTAATTTGCACGTCTGTTAACTTTATGATATTCAAAAACACATTTTGTATGCGTTTAACTCTAAATG